ACAAAATAAGATAGACTTTTTACTTCCTCCAAACACGTCTATAGCATTATAAAACACAATATCAGATGTAACAGCCACGAAATATACTTAGCATGTGTGCGATTTCAATGCAGTAGACCCGAGGCTCTTTGAAATTTCAGTGACTGTAACTTCAATGTTGGCAATTGAGCGAGCAGCTATGAAGTGGGCAATATGAAAACTGCTAAAATGCTGCAATATGAAATGCCGCGAAACGCGAACACAACTGCTTGCGTTTCTGCGCTATTTATGTTTTCGTCTCTTTCGCTCCCGAAGTTCTCATGATAATGCAACTAATAAAACAGTGAACACATAAACGGAACGAATTGCATAAAAATGTTTTATTTGCGTACAGGTGGAATGTGAGGCCACAACATTTTTTCAACCTGTTGGCACATCCGTAAACGACGCAAGAGGCAACCATTGTAAACCATTTGTATTTACATGCCGACAAGGTGAAACAAGAATGGACGAAATCAGCAGCTCGCGATGGCGCTGAGCACGCTTTTTGCCACTGGCAAGATGACGGCGGCTGGCTTTACTCGCACAGCGCCCCTCCACTCCAGCAAGTTTTATGTATCCTCCTTGGTTTGAGCGCGTCTGGCGTCTCTCCGTCACGAAAAGAGGGAGCCGCAGTGTTGTCTGGGTAAAATGCTAGACAGACGTGCGATTTTCTCTGCGATTCGGCGTGCGTTGTGACGATGCGACTGCCGGAGTAATGACGTTTTGTGACGTATCTTCGCGTCGCACTGCCACATAGCCGGTGCGGCGAGCATCAAACCGGCTAGATATTTTCGTCGCAGCATCGCACCGCCGCATGGCAGTAGCCAATCACAGCGCGAGCAAACGAGTGGAGTCACGATGCTAGTGGCGCCATCTCCCTGTCGCCGCTCCTATCTAGAGGTGTGCGCCGAGGCGATTTTGACCGGCGGCGGCGTGGGGGTCGTCCAGAGTCGGCGGTGGCTGCGTAGTCGGCGCACGCCGGTTTTTTCATCGGCGGCGGCGTGCGGCCAATTTTTGTCGGCGGTGGCGGCGTCGGCGGCGCAGAAACCGAAACTGAAAATTCAAAAGGCTCTTCTGAGACAGGTTACTGAATTCGTTGAAATTCTGGGTTTTTCATCCAAGTAGCATTAATCACACTACGCAGATGTGTCGACATCCCGTTGAATGCAAACCGTTTTGTAAAATAGTTTTTATTTTCCATTCATAAAAAAATAACGCGTATTTCAATCTATGTCCATGTTCCACCGTAAATATGCAGCAGTTTGTTGCTATTGTTGGCTACGTCATACTCTATGAAACCTTCTTTCATTCAACGATGAGCAAGCAGTGACGCACGTCACTCATTTCGCTTTTTCCGACTGCGATCTTACTTTTACACTGTACGCTGCACAAAAAAGAAGCACCTCTGCTTCGAGTTTTCTTATTGCGATTGCGTGAAACCGCTTTTTTGAGTATCTGTCATGCTTTGAATGTAAATTTTCTTCAAACGAATCAAAATACCTACTTTTCACAAAGTGAGAATTTTTTTGCAGCGGTATAGGATGCGGAAAGAAACAAATCTGTGCATTTATTCAACTAGTTCTCAGCACGGTGTTCAATGAATGAAGTGTAGACATGGGCGTGGGCGAGGCGGGTGGTGCAACACGGACACTTGAACCCTTCAAGCTTCACCAGCACTTGCTACCCACTCTAGCGACACCAACACGACCCGCTCCCTCAGTCGTGATGCAAGTTGAAAGAAGGGTTTGTGTGCCCCCACGACAAAAACCTGTCGATGGTCATATGTGCAGATGAGAGCAAATGCAACATTTGCTCAGATACACAGCCCATAGTGGTCACAAGCTGGGCGTCCGTTGACCACGCCTGCAGAGAACGTTGACTCCCCGACCCCTTGGTGTTTGTTCCGGGGAAGGGGACACCCCTTGCAAGTGGGCCCCATTAAAATTTCTCTTAAAAACGTCAGAAATAAGAATGCTTGATAAGTATTTATAAAACATTCAACTTTTCCATGCTTTTTTTATACCGTGTACACGTGCTCAATACCCATCAGATGTATGAGACAATCGAAATAACAACTGCCACTCTCGACTTGTTCCGGAAAAGACTCAATAGAAGAATGCAATACGAGCGCTGGGAACCTATGTTCGTTTGTATATCTGATTTCTAGGCATGATTTATATTCTCATGTAAACAAAAATAAAACCTGCAACATATTAAAAAAGGCTGCTATTGCAAGATGTGTGTTGCAAGACGTGATTTTTCTGGACTTACATCTCTGCAAGGCACATCTGGTGTCACAAACTTGCAAGTGTCCTCCTTTTCCCCACAACATTTCCCAACCCCCCCCCCTTTCTAATAAAAAGGCACCAATGTAGGCTTCCGTAGGCCTCCGTGATTGCCTACTGGGGCGTGGCGGGCCATTCCGGTGGCTAGGACCAACAGTGCCGATTCCGACTTGCTTTATTGGATGTGCTGAGGGATGAAGAAAAGGCCGATATTTGTAAATTTCTAGAGAGTTCAATGATAGTTTCTTTGTGAATACCGTGGATTATAGAACCACACTTTGAGTGTAATCCTTCAATGAAAAAAAATGGTTTCATCCTGTGTCACTGCAGAGTCAGAAGCCATCATATGTGCAGGCATCATTCGGCTTGTATATAACATTGCTAAGATTCAGTACATTTGTACAAATAATTCTCGTTAATTGAACATTTTGAGTATAATCCTTGCTTGGGTTAGTAAGTGTGAAACATAAATTTGAGTTTTAAAAATTCTCCTTGTGGGTTTTTTAAGCAAAGACACATTGATTAAAACTGTTGACTTTGAAGCTATGGCAGAGGTAACATTCGTTATGTTTTTTTTCGGTTACGGTAACGGTAATGCGTTAACATTTTTATGTATTTATATAACGTGGAGCCGTGAAACATTTCCTTTTTTAATATTAGAGTAACGAGCGAGGTATTTAGTTACCTTTTACTGTAACGGATACATCACTAAATAGACTTACTGGAATGATGTCGGCCCACACCGTCAGTTGTTGTTGCGGTCTATAGGCTGGCTGTAAACATTACATGGATATATTCCTTTCACCCAGCACGTGATAGGGAAGGGTTGCTTGACCATTGAGGATCTCGACCTTTGAGAAATACACAACAGCTTCCTAATGATATGCATATTGTCCCACCGAAGCGTGCACTTCGTTTCGTTAAAGTTTACAGTCAACGTGAGTCCTGTCGTCACGCCGTATGTTTTAGGTAGAAATTTATCCTACTCTAAATACCCAAAGACGTCGATCCACCTTGCAACGCGTGGCCACCCGCTGACGGTTCTGTATGAAAATGGCATACACAGTGAAACACGTTGTATCTGCTGAAATTTTATAGCAACATTTTTATACTGCCACGCTCGCTTGTATTTTTATCTCACTGTCTTGCGCAAAGGCACTGCCGTAGTGGTTCAGTAGCTAAGGTACTCGGCTGCTGACCTGAGGTCGCGGGATCAAGTCCCACCTGCGGCTGCTTTATTTTCGATAAAGGCGAAAATGCTGTAGGTCCATGTGCCGCGATTTGGGTACATGTTAAAGAACCACAGGTTGTGAAAATTTCTCGATTCCTTCACTATACGGCATCTCTCATAATCATGTGGTGGTTTTGAAACGTTAAACACCACATATTAATCAATTGCCTTGCGCAAAGGACGCTTGGCTGTCTGCGAAAACTCTAGATTATTTTAGAATCTTCTGATAAGCTTGAGACACCTACGATATGGATGCTACGTGTATAAATGGCGACGTACCTTCGCGCAGATCATATTACCAACGACCAATGCTCTGATTACCGCTATGTGTGTAATGCACGAATTTATAGCACTTTGCACTTTCCTATGCACATGTTCACTCAATAAAAAGTGTCGTCTTGAGCAACCCACGTACAATCTTCTTTGACGTCACAACCACGTGGCAATACCGTAAGTGAAATGAGAAGGCTGAAATTATCGATACAAAACAGTAAGATGGGCCGTAAGTGCACGCCCAAGTTTGATTTGAGATGCGTATACCTCAAGCTATTTTCTTCTATAGAACCAATATGATGCGGATTTGTTAAATTACTGTGAAGTTGAATGTCAAGAAAGGAAGAACACGAACTTGGAAAGAGACAGTCGAGATGAAAAGTGATAGGTATTGACGTAGAGTTTCATCGGTCATTCCACGCCAAACGTCCAAGGCGTTTTGGCGACTATCTCAGGTGTATTCGAAAAATGTCGGGCTGATTTACTCTATTGAAAGCAGTCTATTGCGAAAATGTTTTGCAGAGAAAAATGTTTTCGGTCACCAATATGTGACCGAAATTCCGGCAATAGGCTGGGCCCCATATCGAGTCGTAAGATAAAAGAACGTTTACTGAGTGAGTCTATGTGGGTCCATTTATTTTGCCGACCTATGGTTCCGAATATTTAAAACCTCCCACGAAGGCGTGCCTTGTTGTCGAATTGACGTTCCGGCTTGTAAAGCCGAAAATTTTATTTTTCAAATTATAAGACTGTTCATATCTCTTCCCTCCCAGGAACTCGTTCTAGGGTTGGTCCTTTAATGAAAACCAGTCTTATAACTTAAAAAAATGCTTGGATATCAACTATTCATATCTCTCAATAAAGATGTGGAAATGAAATGACCATCACTAAATGACTGATTGTGGTGTTTGCGAAAGACGTAAGAAGCACCGGCAGCACCACCGTACAAAAAAGACGTTTATTGTACGCAACACATCGAATATATACATAAAGGACAGACGCGCCCCCTGGGGGTGAAAGAACACAAAGTAAAAACCGAAACTGAATATAACATACTTCCTCCATTATATGTAGTGATTAGTTGTTAGTAAGTGTTAGTAATAAACCCCTATGTATGCACTGTACATTTTCCACGCTGTATACACATACATATTTACACTACATACACTTTATGCTATACACACAGGCAACTAGTGGGTCTGATAGTCCTTGAGCCAGACTGGTGGCCGGAGCTCTCGAGACGGCCGATGGGAATGCTGCACGGCCGGAGACGGTAATGAGCTTGTAGAGCTCTGTAGTACGCCAGGAGACCGCGATAGCGACTCAGGAGAAGGCGGGTGCAGCATGGCAGGCTCCGGTACAGGCAGCTGCGGATCAGGAGCAGGCGACTGCGGTACGGCAGACTGCAGTACGCCAGGAGGCGGCGGCTGCGACCCGGGAGAAGGCGGCGGTGGCAGGGCAGGCTGCGACAGGGCAGGCTGCGGCACTTGAACCGGAAGCTGTGGCGCAGGTAGCTCCGAACGTTGGTATGGTGGACTCGTGCCCCTCTCACGAACCCGGGAAATCTTGGAGGCGTTCCATGTGCGGCCGTCTGCAAGTCGGAAAGAGGCAGGTCTCCTCCTCCCCAACACCTCAGTTGGCGAGAAATGGAGCGATCCCCCTTGAAGTGAACGGACGGCTTCTTGATACGAACGAAATCACCCACAGCTATCTTTGGCTGCTTAGCAGCTCTCCTGCAGTCCGTGTACTCCTTACTGCTTTGCTGTTGAAGCCGGACCCTTTGGCGCAGTCGCGCCAGTTCCTTTGCTGGGTCTTTTGCAAACGCTGGTGCCGAAAACCCCACAACATCCAATCTGGTTCGGGGCATTCGCCCATGCAGCAGAACTGCTGGGGCAACTCCAGTGGTAGCCTGTGGAGTACAGCGGTAAATAGAGAGGTAGTCCGTAACTGCTTGTCGGATAGCTCTCCTTTCGAGGAGTGAAACCTGGATGAAGTTCTTCAGAGTTCGATTGAACCTCTCGACTTGCCCATTCGCCTGGGGGTAATATACAGACGAATGAGACAGCTTGATGGCTCGGTTTTGAAGAAAGGTTACAAGTTCACGTGAAGCGAACTTCGGCCCATTGTCGCAAACAATCTCTTCCGGGTATCCTTCACGGGCAAAAACACTGGTTAAGAAGTCTTCCACGGTGCTTGTGGCCACTTCGCTGCAGAAATATATCTCTGGTTATTTGGAATGGTAATCGACCAGTGTTATAGCAAATTGGCTATTGTGAGGTGCATGTTCCAATGGGCCAACAATATATAGGCCCAGTTTCTGCGATGGCCTTTCAGGCCAGTCAATAGGCTGCAACGGCGCTGGCGATGTTTTGGCAGACTTATCTGCCTCCAGGCAGAAGTGACAGTTTTTTACGGCAGATTCAGCTTGCTTGTCAATCCGTGGCCACCAGAATAGCTCACGAAGTCGCGCCTTAGTGCGCGTGATGCCCGGATGTGCCTCGTGGGCAACGGTGATGAGCTGAGCCGTGAGTGAGGACGGAAAACGAAGGCGTTCTGAGCGCAGTAGAAGGTCATCAACAACAGAAAGTTCTTCGCGCACAGAGTAGAAAGATTTTGCCTCCTCTGGTATGGACTTTTGTGGTGGCCAAGAACCGAGCACGAACGACTTGACCGTTCGCAGACAACCACCGTTGAGGACGGCTTGGTTTAATTCTTCCTTCGTCACGCAAGCCGACTCGACCAACGACACAATTTCTTCATCCTTGGCCAGCTGTGCCTGCGCAGCAGGAGCTGGCAGCCGAGAAAGAGCATCTGCCACCATGTTGGTGGACCCCTTTTGGTACTCGACAGTGAAATTGTAGCACAGGAGTCGCGCATTCCAGCGTGCTATTCGAAGTGGCCTTCTGCCACGTCCTTGCGAAGACAGCAACAATACCAACGCCTGATGGTTCGTTCGAATTTGAAAATGGCGACCCCAAAGGTGAGTGTGCCATCGTTCGCACGCCCAAATGCATGCCAACGCTTAGCGTTCGCCGACCGAGTACTTTCTTTCTGCCGGTGACAAGGTACGAGACGCGAAAGCCACTGTGCGGAGCTCATGGCCATTTTGCTGCTGCAGAACGGCTCCCAGCCCACAGTCAGAAGCGTCGGTCGACACGATGACTGGAGGTGATGGATCGAACATGTGGAGAACTGTACTTGAAGAAAGCATTTCCTTGATCCTCCGGAAACTGCTGTCTGCTTCGGCTGACCAGATGAATGGCTCATTCTTGCGAAGCAGAACGCGCATGTGCACGACCACCTGGGCCAAGCGGGGAACAAACTTGGAATAGCATTCTACACGACCCAGGAATGAACGGAGGGTAGCAACATCTGTTGGCACTGGAGTGTCAACTACCGAGTCTACTTTCTCAGGAAGCGGCGAGATACCTTATGCAGTGACGTTATGCCCTAGGAAAGAAAGTTTTGGAACGTCAAAGAGGCATTTGTCGTTCAATTTCAGGCCTGCGTACTTGACTTTATGCAAGACCTTTGTTAGGTGCCAAAGATGTTCTTCTGCACTTTTACCAAAGACTATCACGTCAGTAATGTAGAACAACACACCAGGGCAGCCATCCAGAAATATGGCCATCATCTTCTGAAATGCCGCTGGGGCATAAGCTAACCCAAAGCAAACTCTCTTGAACCGAAAGAGTCCTTCATGCGTGATGAAGGCTGTCAGGTCCCTCCTGTCAGGGTGCAAAAAAACCTGATGGTAGGCAGAAGCCAAGTCAAGTTTTGAGAAATGTGTCGCGCCTACCAAGGCATGAAGGAGTTCCTCTGTATGAGGCAACGGGAAGCCGTCTGGTACAATAGCCTTGTTAGGCTCCCAGAGGTCAACACAAATTCTGATGGTGCCGTCTTTCTTGTCAACGACAACAATGGGCGAAACCCGTTCAGAAGCATTGATGCGTTCGATGATGTCAAGGCGCAGCAACCTGTGAAGTTCATTTGACACTGGTTCCCAAAGTGAATATGGAAGACGGCGCAGCTTCGAAGATACCGGCTGCACGCCTTGCCGAATCTTGACACGATGCGTGAACCGCTTAGCAAGACCCAACTCGCGACTGAAAAGTGAACCGAAGTCGTGTTCCAAGGCTGGCGGAAGGTTCGCTTGCCTGGGTTGCTATATTGACTGCATCGGAATGTGACAAAGCGTCGGGTCATTAACACGCGGCGGCGGGGCAACGGACGTGTGTAGGCACTCAAGGGGTGGAGCCCTGTATTCGAAGATTTAGGGCCTTAATGCCGTCAAGGCCAATCAGACAAGTTCCTTAGAGAACAATGTAGAAAAGTGGTGCAGAGCGCCCTTTAAACTGAACGTCTGCCTGGAAACAGCCTAGCACGGAAATTGGGCGCTTCGAATAGTCAAACAAAGTGACATGCGGAGCTGGGAGGAGCAAACCGCTTTGAAAATGTTGGTGAAATTTTTGCTCTGATAGAATTGAAACAGACGACCCTGAGTCAACAAGGAATGACAACTTGACATCCGCTACGCGTACTTGTATGTAAATTGCGCTGCGAGCGGGATGCTGCACAGTCAAAACTTGCTCAGAACTTTCCCCTGACAAAGCATCGTCATCGATGCGAACTTCATGAATCCTGCCTTGCATTTGACGCTTGCGGTTGCATACTTTCTGAAAGTGTCCCTTGATACCGCAAAACAAACACTTCTTTCCCTGCGCAGGGCACTGTGACGCTGATGCGCGGTGATTCCGCGAGCCGCACCGGAAACAGTGCGGTGAAACGGACCGGCTATCTCTCTCTCGCCGACGGGGGCGGGGCCCCTGCGGCGCACGCAAACCGCTAGCGCTTGGAGAGTTTTGCTGAAAATGCGCTTTTGGCGGGAAATTGAATTTTCGCGAAGAATGCGAATACTGGGAACGACGCCGTACAGAAACAGGCTCGACCGAAGCAGAAAATTCCTTCAGCTCTTCAGCTGCTTGTTTAAACTGAAGAGTGATCCGCACTGCGCTCTCGAACGAAAGGGAGGAACCCTCGAACGGCAACCGTTCACGTACGCGGTTGGAAACAACGCCGGCAACAAATCGGTCCCGCAGAGCATCATCTTGTGAAACGAACGAACAATGCGAAACAAGCTCCCGTAAAGCAGCAACAAAGTCATGAACGGACTCGCCTGCGTGTTGGCTGCGGCGGTGGAAACGATGACGCTCGACGACGACGTTACACGACGTGGAAAACTGCTGCCGTAACGCGATGAGTGCAGCCTCGTACTCGTCAGTAGCAGCCGCGGGAGGCTTCTCTTGTACTTGCGGTGCTGCGGCGCTTGCAGGTTCTGCGGCATTTGACCCTGCAGGTAAAGTCTGGTAAACACGCTGCCTTTCTGCCCCCAAACAATGCAGAAGAACGGCCTTGCGTCACGCTGGTGGGAACTAAGCTGCTCCGGACGCTAGAAGGTAGACTGTTGAAGCCTGCGCCCACTCCTACCATGGAAGTGACGGCCGGCCGGGCGTCGGGAGGAACGGCGGCGGCGGAGCAAGGCCGGAGAAACTCATGGCGGGGCGGACCCGGACGACACTCGATGCTGAAGGTAGCTTGACGTGTTTGTCCCACGCTTGTCGCCATTGTGGTGTTTGCGAAAGACGTAAGAAGCACCGGCAGCACCACCGTACAAAAAGACGTTTATTGTACGCAACACATCGAATATATACATAAAGGACAGACGCGCCCCCTGGGGGTGAAAGAACACAAAGTAAAAACCGAAACTGAATATAACACTGATGATGTGAATTATTAACATTGAAAAGCATAGTAAACGTGACCAAAGAGCTAATTCTACAAAAATAATTTAACCTGAACTAATGATTTCACCACACATTTAAAACCTCATGCAATGTATATTGCCGCGAATCATGCATTGGGTTTGTTTATTTGTGTTTCGTTTTTTCGGCCTGGCTGTGCCGGTCTGTGCTATCGCCGTTTTCACAGCGTTTCGAACAAACGCTACCACAGCGTTTTGAACAAACGCTATCGAACAACGCTTCAGGCGTTGTTCGATAGAAACAACGCTTCAATCGCTGTTTGTTATCACGCTATCACGGCGTTCTCGATACAATTCAACTATTCGAGAAACCCTCGCGCCGAGGGATATAAATTCCCGCACAGCCGATGCCGCGTCATTCGATCGCCGACGCTCACTAGCGTGCACGTCGTTTTGCCGGCCGCTGCTTCGCCGCCTGTGTATTCCTTCAGTTGTTAGGGGAGCACAGGTTCGCTCCAATAAACTTGTTTTCCTTATAGACAACTTCGTCGTCCTTTGCTTCGTGACATATGGTGGAGGTGCGGGGTACATGAACCCTAAGCCATTGCCAAGCCGACAAGCACGCCCAACTCGTGTCAGCCGCCGACTGCAAGGCCTTCAGCCAGAGTTTGGACTGCTCCCGGATAAAAAAAGGAAAGAAGACGTAAAAAACACGATGATCAACGCAGGCACCGTGACCAGCGCTACCAACCCACCCGCCGTTCTGCAGCAACCTCGTGAGCCCCCATCATTCCGAGGATCTCCTGGTGAAGACCCGGAAGAGTGGCTGGAGAAGCTGGAGCGCATCCGCATCTTTAACAGGTGGGATGACGAAGAAACGTTTCGTCATGTCTTCTTCCATTTGGAGGACGCAGCTCGAACGTGGTTTGAGAACCATGAAGGCTCCCTAACCGACTGGACTGTCTTTAAGAGCGAATTCCTCAAAACATTCGCTACGGTTGTGCGGAAAGAACGAGCCGCCCTTTTGTTGGATACGCGAATGCAACACCCTAACGAAGGTGTTGTACTGTTCGCTGAGGAGATGAAGATGCTGTTCCGGAGAGCTGACCCCGAAATGGCAGAAGAGAAGAAGGTGCGCTTTCCGATGCGGGGAGTTAAACAAGAGCTCTTCGCTGGACTCATCCGCAACCCCCCTAAGACCGTCGCTGAGTTCGTCACCGAGGCTTCGATGATCGAGAGGACCTTGGACATGCGTTCGCGGCAATACGATAGACCACTCAACACCCTTTTGGTGAGCCCGGTAAACGCCCCTAGATTGGCGACGGAAGACTTGCGGGAGACCATCCGCGCCGTCGTTCGCGAGGAACTGAGGAAATTGTTCGGAGCAACGCCGCAGCCCCAAGTCGCCTCCCTCACTGACGTCGTCCGCGAGGAGGTTCAGCAAGCACTGGGGAATTCCACGCCGTCGGAAGCATCTTGCGAACTACAAGCGATGACCTACTCTGCTGCTGCTCGTCGACCCCGACCAGTCCCAACCCGTTATCAAGAGGCCCCGCCGTACCGCCGCCCAATGTCGCCCGCCCGACCCCCTGTAACCCGAAACCAGGCGCCCAGGAAGACCGAGGTGTGGCGAACGCCAGATAATCGTCCGCTGTGCTACCACTGCGGAGAGGCCGACCACGTCTACCGCCGCTGCCCGTACAAGAGGCTGGGTTTGCGTGGGTTCTCCGTCGACGCACCCCGCCCGCGAGCCGGCCAGCGCCCATTTGAGATCGAAGAATACCTGCCGAAAACCAGCCGAGGACCATCCCGTTTCAACCGTTTGCCGTCGCCCTACCCGCACCAATCCCCCTACCGTCGCGGCCATGCTGACTTCGCCCGTGGAAGGTCCCCTGCCCACGAGGGGGAAACTAAAAGCAGCAAATTCTGGAGGTGAAGTTGCACAACGGCGAGAAAATGAAAACCCTCCAACGACGCAAGACCGTGACTCACGACATGCCCTCACCCCGACGACCCGACGACACCCTGACGAGACCCCCGAAAACGACGACAGCTACGCT